ACACTTGAATCTTAAAGACCTCTTATTCAGTAACAGGACCAGTCACATAGGAACCCTTTTCTGAGACAGGATAGCTAGGACTTTGATGTTTCTAAATTATATGCAGTTTCCAAACGGTACCATCAGAAAGTGGTTTCCCTGAAGCAGAGACCAGGCAATGACTGACAGAGAAGATCTCAAGGGAACTTCTTCCAGTAAGAGTAGGAGACTCATACTTATGTGAAAGTGATTGCTTAGATCATAGTTTTATGTGAAATGTATCCATCTATGCTAGTAAGTGGGCAAATTTTGTTGCATAAAAGTCACTTGACATCAGAGGTTCTCAAAAGTGACATTGGGATGAGGGGGCCAATAGAGGGTAGGGAATGGGGGATGAGAACATAAGGGAATGGGATGGTTGAGCTGGAACAGGGATGGAGTGGTAGAGCAATGAAAGAGATACCACGATAGAGGGAGAAATCATAAGAATAGGGAGAAACTGTGTGCTAGGGAATTTACCAGCAATCCACAAGGATGACCCCACCTTAGACTACTAGTAATAGTGGAGAGGGTGCCTGAACTTGCTCACTCCAGTAATCAGATTGGTAAATACCCTAACTGTAATAGGAGAGCCTTCATCCAGTAACTGATGGAAGCAGATGGAGAGATCCACAGCCACCACCAGGCTGAGCTCTAGGAGTCCAGTCAAACAAAGAGAAGAGGGATTCTATGAGCAAGGGGCATCACGATCATGATAGGGAAAGCTGCAGAGACAAACACACAAAACTATTGGGAACTCATGAACATTAGATCAACAGCTGTGAAGCCTGCATGAGACTTAACTATGCCCTGTGCATAAGTGACAAAGTTGTGTAGCTTGGTCTGTTTAAGGGGCCCCCGGCAGTGGGATCAGGATCTATCCCTGGTGCATGAGCTGCAGTTTTGGAGCCCAATACCTATGGTGGAACACCTTGCATAGCCTTGATGCAGGGGGAGGTACTTGGTCCTGCCTCTACTGAATATGTCAGGCTTTGCTGACACCCCATGGGAGGGAGGCCTTACCTTGTTGGAGGAGAGAATGGGGGATGGGCTTGGAGGGAAAGCTAGAGAGATGGGAGGATGGAAGAGAGGGGGATCTATGGTTGGTATGTAAAACTAATAAATATTCCTTATTAAAAAAAGAAAAAAAGGAAGACCAACAACGATTCTGGGAAGTGAAACTCTCACAGTGTGCTGTGACTCCATCTCTCTCTTGTGCAATGGATATGATCTGTGCTTTCCTCTTTAAATAAGGGAAATGTCTAGGCAACAGAATATTTGAGTTGTTGCTGCTTTAGG